AATGAAACATTTATTAAATTGGACAATGGCACACGAGGACCATGCTAGACACAGTCTTGTGTGCAATTAAAAAAATAAAACACAGAGAGCAAGGGATATCCAGGTAAAATTTAGAGATTACACTGATAAGCTTGTCACCATTAAAGGATTATAGAGAGTAGATATATGAGTAAATAGGATCCAAAAAAACAATTAAGGGTAGTGGCTGAGAGTATTGTTTACGGTGCCAAAGGCACAGCAAGCGCTAGACTTGAGCAAATGGCAGCACACGTAGGAAGGTTGGTACAACACAGAGTGCTAAGAAAAGCTTGATACTGTTTTCCAGCTGAAAGACACCAGCCATGTCTCTAAGACTTTCCAGTGAAGGAAAGGCTTATTGGTCTCAGAGTCACCAACTAAAAGAGACAACAAGTGGCAGGAAAAATGCAACATGCTGCTTTCTCAGTGGTACTGACACTGTATTCTGTCATTCCAGTCTCCATTAACCTCACCCCAGCAATGTGGTGGAAACCAGTATTAAAATAATTTATCATTTATTGGCAAATCCTATCGATAAAACTGGTGCAGTCATATGCTAATATGTATTTAATATCAGATCATTTGATCAGCAGCAAGTAAATCCAATGGGTATCCAGCTGGATTCACAACTCACGCCTTTGCAAAAGGAACACTGGGGACTTAGGAAAATGTTCAACCAAAATATTAATAAACATTATTAATACCACAGAAGCAATCCAGAACATTGGCTGAAACGAGAGTATTTAAAAAACACATTTTCCAAATATTTGTCTACTTCCCTTCTCTGGTGCCAAAGGACAAGGCTAATTAATCAGCTACATCTGCAGTGAAATCTCCACATTTTCCAGCAGAAAGACAAGATGGAAATTTAAGAACTCTTTTTTTGCTCACAATTAGTTCAACTTCTTATTGATCTTTTGCAAACTGTCAATTAGATTTATTTATTTTTTATAGTCTAAAGATATGTAAAAGGAGAGTTGCCTGTACCACTGCTGTAACAATTAGCTGAAGCTTTCAGGTCAGTGGTATCTATTGCTTCATAAATTAGTGTCCTCTGCTACCAAACAAACTTTGCATCATTTTATTAATGAAGTTCCAAAGTTCATTAACACTTCAATTTACTGTCCCTGGCTTGAAACCTTGAAGTTTATTGATGAAGTTAAAATAAAAATACAATTACATGCAAGAACATATTAACTAGATAAATAATTCCTGAAATGCTATTACCATATTTACAACTAAAACTTCAATGTATACTTTATGCATAATTTTGAGTATTTATAATGCAAGTTAATAGTCTCTGATGCAACATATTAGAAAACCACACTAATAAAACAGGGCTTCTCCACTGTAGACAATGTATTTAACAAAATAAAAAATGAGAATTAGAATTCTTATACTGTAAAAAAACTGAAGTTAGAGGAACTGGGGTTGTGAAGTAATGTAAAGAGATAGATTAAATGGAACAGACAAGTTACACCCTGTAGTGCCCAGATCCACCAGCTTTACAAACATGACACAACACACATTTATGATGATCAATAGCTCCAAACAAATATTCACAGGAGGCTGTGGACATGGGAGGTTGTCTTAGAAGACAGGCATATGCTGAAGAGGAACACAGAACACATTTCCAAGTTCAGGAACAAGATTTTTGCCTTGCCTGACAAAGTGACAGCTTGGGAGCTGTTATAATAAATTGAAATAACTTAATCTAGATATGGTATCACCAAGTGGGCTTAGCACACCCTAACAACAGTAGTCTCATATGTTGAGAGACATCATCAACTTTATGCTACACTCTAAATCCTTCAGAGAATGAGGATCTTTAGCTTTTATTAGTTATAAGTCCTTATTAGAGCTGTGCATCATAGAATAATTGCTTTGTTAATTTGGATGATGATGCTGATCTGGCTTGGATAGAAGGGTGAGATATTGAGCATTTTAACAGTGTTTAGCCTCCCAGACACAAGAACTCTGTGGAAGAAGCCCAGCAGAGGCATGGTGGTTGAGCAGCTGAAATTCTGACTGATTACTGAGTGTTATGCAAGAAGACTCCCCACACAGTTCCCTACAGTGATTTCTGCTGGCAGGAGAGGCTGGAAATTGTAATAAAAAGCAACACTTGTCCATTACAATGGCAGTAGGGTGAATTGTACACATGTTCAAACAAGATGTCAATGCTAAACACTGATTACCCAGACAATGCTTCAGTGACCAACCCCATCTCTCAGCCTGTGGTGGTGTCTCACTCCCAGCAAGAGCAGGGGAGTATCAAAGTTTTCCCACAGTTATTCCCCCCAGTCTAGTGCTATTCCTGGAAGCACAGTATGGTCATATTATTTGAATCCCCACTTGCATCAGAAACACTGATCTGGAACATTGCCTCCTGTACCCCTTGGAACAGCAAATGTTTTACAGGCCCTCCTGTGACCCAGGAGCCAGGAGGACAGCATGGGGGGAATCATCAGCAAGAAAGCCCTAAATGAAGAAATGAAATAGGTCTCCCTTGGAGAGGAGGCTTACTGGAGTGTAACGAAAACAAGCCCCATCCCTCCTCCCCTGTGCACACATACACACACCCTGGAGGCTTTTGCAAAGCCACAGGAACGGAAATAATTTTGTTTGAATCCATCAAGCATTAAAATCCGTTCGCTGAGGGATTGAAGTGAAAAATGAGCCGGAGACAGGAATTAGAAGCTCACCGCCTGGGCTGTCAAAAGGGATTTTCCCCAGATAGAAAACAAGCAATTGGAAATGCAGGGAAGTAAATCCTTTCAGTCTCTGACATGTATGCACAATCTTGGTTTCCCCTCCCAACCCTCTTGGTTCTGGGTTCACGAAGTCAAACCTGGACAAATCTCCTTGTGTGCTCTCTGGCCATATTGCCCATCCTTGGGATCCCCTTCCAGGGGTCTGCTCAGGAATGTTGCAAGCCTCAGGCAAAGGGGAGGTGGTGAGACACCCAGGACAGCCACCTGCACTTCCATACACTGTACTCATGGTGCCTGAGGTGCCAAAGGGATAAACCAACAGCTCTAAGAACCATTTTATCTACTGTGTAAAATTTGCTGAAGAAAGAGACAAGGAGCAAAGTTGACATTCAAGTTATAATCGCTTATAAGTTACAAGCACATTTTAGTTTACCACTCAAAAAAACCCCCAAACACCACACCTCATCTCCCTGAAATATGGTCTCTTTCTCTCAAGACCAACACAAATATCTCTGCACCAGCTACATTTTGCTGATGTTTCAGAGGTTTATTTGCAACCATAAAAGCCAGATGTCTACTTTCCCCAAATCAAAACAGAGATTCAGGAAAATGATGTGGCAGATAGGAGGAGTTTGGGCTACTGTGCAGAGGCAACCTCAGATTATGAGGTATGTGCCACATTCACATCTCTGCAGTCTTAGAGGTGGACTTGAAGAAATAAATTATCATTGCAGCACTGGTTTATGCAGGGTAGACCTCCCCTTTAGCTGGTTGCCAAAACTGAAAGCAAGAATTATTTATAGTACAGCTTCTGTATGAAGACAATAAACACAATGCACTGTAAATAGGCCAATATAGCTCTGGGTCCATAGCACAGGGATGTAGGACAGCCAAAAGAGAGACCCCCAAAGAAACCCACAGATCTACTAAATGGCCTTAACACTGAGTCTTTACACTCATCAAACTGTGCACCAGCCGCACACTGCTGAGCCAATTGTCTACTGAAGGAAGAAGGGAGAGGAAGAAAGAAGTAACAAGAAGAAAAAGAGAAGATGAAGGGCCAGACATGCAGCATTTAAGCTATGGGAAGAAGCAACGGAGTGACAGGAGCCAAGGAGCCATCTAACCACAGCACAGCTCCAGACACACAAATTGGTTTAAGAATAGGACAGAGGTAGAACAAGAACAAGGTAAACATTCATGCCACAGGATCCCTGGTGCCTCGTGGCTTTGAATTCGAAAGCCAGTTAAGAGAACAAACTTGAAGAAGTTTAATATAACAGAAAATTCAACTTTTATGTGTGCTAACATCCTTCAAGATAAAATCTACAGTTACCTAGATACAATGATGTGTGTTTGTAGTAAATATTTTCTTTAACACATGCTGTCCTCTACTGTTGTGTAAAACACTTTCCTATTGTACTGTGACTCTCTCTGGTAATAGTCCTACCACTTAGGTGGTGTTTCATTGCTGTAGATCACACTGTGCTTAACCCAGGGGGTATCATTATCTCTGTTTCACATGTGGAGTCATGGAAGCACCTAAAGATGAAATGAATCCACGGCAAGATCAGAAAACTAACTACAGTTTTACAGTGACAGCTTGTATTGAAGAGAAACCTCAGGAGGTTTAAATGGGATTTGCTGGCAGCATAAAGACTGTTTGAAAACACCCATGAAAAGAGCTCAGGATAAACACAGAGACAAAGAAAAGATAAAGGTGATAATGCCATGGCCAGGGGTCAGAAAGAATCAGCAAGTGTCAGCCTAGCAGCTACACTAGAAAGAGTTTGTGTTTTCTTCACACTGATGATATTCACAGTTGTCTCCCTGCTCTTTGAGGAGCTGATGAGTTATCAGCAGAATCTTACACCAGGACCAGGGCACCCTTACAGCTGGACAAAAGACTTGGAACAGATGCTGGCTGAAGTCAGCTGGTGGCTGTGTGGCTCTAGGAACAACACTGAGGTGGGAGCTGATCTGTATCTGGGAAGACTTATGTTCCATCCCCACTCCCGTCCCCCTCCTGCTGAAGATGCTGCTGCACTGAACCTGAAAGGTCTGGTTATAAATAGCTTCTCCCTGCAGCTCCTCAATGAGCCACTGAGGCGGAATGAGTCATCTCTGCCAGCTCCGTGGCCCCCCCAAAATGCCTGCGTCAGGTTGGGAGCGTGGCTGCCAAACAGTGGCACACACTGTTCCCTCTCAAAGGGCAGTGGCCTTGGGGGACAGGGACACTAAACAATCCAGCTCTGCCCATTACTCATAAGCACCCAAAAGTCACATCACTTTGTGAACAAGGTAAAATCTGTCAAGAAGGCTTAGAAATCTACGCTGGCACTTCAACCCCTTTGTCCACACCATTATCCTCCCCACCCTGGTGTTTAACTGGAGCTTCTAACCCAGTACTTGGTTTGTCATGGAAATGACTGAGCAGATCTCAGGGACTGAACCTCTCATTTTGCTTCCAAAGAACTTCTCCTTACCAAGGTGGGGTGACGCTGTTCAGCAAATGGGCAGAGCAACAAGCAGGTGAGCTGCCAAACCCTCACCTCTGGGCCAGGTGTGCTACCAGGCACATCTCTGTATTTCCTATGATGAAATAACATGAGAATTTTAACAAGAAAATCAGATTTGCTTGTTTCATTGTGAGAGAAATTCACCTAGCTGATAGACAGCTGTATCTCTTCTAGTGCTGTTGCAGGAAAGCAATTCCTTGGTTCCTTGGTGCGATTTCCTGAACTTGCATAGGACACCAGGTAAGAAGAGTAAAGAAATTCTAGCAATTATTTGTTCACATTGACTTTATTCAGAGGCAAATGGAACTCTCCTGAGACATGTCCTTTCTCAAACCTAAGGCAATAAAGACAGATGTTTAATGAATTTTAGGATAAAGACTGCTGTAAGTAAGTAAAGCACAAGTTCTAGCCAAGAAAATCATACCAATTTGCTGTGATTATCAGAGACTGAGGGGGTTGGGTGTGAGTACTTATGGTGGGGGAAATAATTTAAACCAATACTGGGTTAAAAGGAAGGAAAAGAATATCAGGTAGGGAAGAAAATACAAAGTCAAGATCAAAGGAGAACACAAGCAGGGTCTGGAAGCCAGTTATTACTGTTCTTAAACAAAATAAAACACACAGAACAAAGCAGAAAGCAAGATTTGGAGACAGGACATGAGGAAATCTCCTGGTACTACATTTCTTTCACATGGAAAGTCTAAGATAATGTGATCCAAGTGATTCTGGTATGTTTTCCATAAACACAGGCTGTGTCCTGTGGCTCACATGAGCATTGTGTGAGAAGACAAGCTCTGGACAACAGGACAGGCAATCAAGACTATCATACATTTCAGGGGAAGTCAAACCTTTGCAAGCAGAATCTTGAAAAACAAAACTCACAAATAGCTGTTATTTGAACTGAAGACCAGTGAGGTTGATGATGCTGATCCACACAAACAAAATACACAGAGCAATATATTTCAGTTCCCTCCTTTTGCCAGCTGGTGCTGACAAGGCAAATATTCCTGTGGCCACTGTAGTGCTGCCAGTGGTGCCCAGCACTGCCCCGTGTGACGGCAGAGGGTGCGTTTGCTCTCAGGTCATGATGCAAACTGTGACAAAGCTTGGCAGACTTTCTGCTACCAGCTGAGGTGATACACTGTTGTATCGAGGGAGGCAGAAGATGATGCAGCTTTACATGAGCTGCTTCTTCATTTTCCCTCCAGTTTTTAATTCATCATCGAACCAATAAGGTACATTATGTTAAAAGTTAATGACTTTGTTCTGATAGAGTTTTAAAACAGACTTACTTCAGAATTTTGTAAGTTCATCATGTGCAACCTCATCTTTTCTATATTCATGTCTGGGAATATTTTATCTTCAGTGACTTTTTTTTCTAAACACAGAAGGGACCTACTCCATAGAAGAACCTAAACCTTGAAAAGACCTCTGCCATACTTTCTACCACCTTCTCAGCACTTAGAAAGTTATTTATTGGCACCCATAAAAGGACAATTCTCCTTTCTGCAACCACCTCTAACCTGTGTTCCCCTTCCTCATTATTACCCCTTCTATGTCTCCTAACAAGGATACAAAGAATAATCTGTTTTCTCTTGCAATGCTCTCATATCAGTAACAACATGAATCTCACCTCCCCACTTTTCACTGTGCAGAAGGAACAGGCTCGTCACTGTCTTTTCTCTCACCCCTCAGTTTTCCCATTAGAAGAGATTTAGCTGCATTGCTATTGATCCCCACACTCCTTAGCCTCTCTGTGGAATCCAACCTTTACAAAGGCTGTGCAACTGCAGGTTAATTGTGTCTCAAGGATGTATCTGGGCTGTGCCCGAGTGCTGCCCCCAGCTCTGTGTTGTGCGATGGCTGAGAAAGAAAATCACAGAGGTCAAAGCCCTGGTAACATTGTCAAAGCTCTGCCTTCCTTTCATGATGGGAGAAGGATAGAACAGGTAAACTCCTGGAGTTTCATGACTTTCTTGGCATTCTAGAATTCTTTTATTCTCACTAATAAACGTTATTTATCAATTCAGAAACTTAACACTTTGAGGTCAATGCAGGTTATTTTATCCATTGCTGTAGTCCTGTTACTTGCCACTTGGATGCAGAGATAGCACCAGTAAAAGATACCGGACATAGAGAAATGTCTCAATACATAGGAAAGCAAATTCCTTGCTCGTTTGCAAAGTACAATTGCAATTACTTCAAGAGATATGTCCAGTGTACCCAGAGGGAGTCCTAATAATGCAAGGGAATTCCAATGGCAAAGCCTACAGTGACAGTTCCAAAACTAAGAGAATGGTGGTTCTCATACTTAAGAAGAACAATACATTTATTTTAATTTTTTTTATGAGCAATAAAATAGTTTAAAAAAAAAATGAGGTACATATGAGGCAAGAACCTTAGGCTGAGGTCCTGATGGGAGCAAGGGAAATGCTGATGAAATACAATTTCTTGCTTTAAATATTTGTAAAGGCCAACAAAGATCCCGAAATAGCCTTTCAGACATGAAAAAAAAATCCCGATAAAACAATTCCACCAAAAAGTGTCCTAATTATCCCAAGACTGTAAGCAATCCTCTGGTGTCACACACAGCAAACTTGGAAATTAAAGATACTGAAACCAGTGGGAATGTAATAGCTACTGCTAAGAAAGGATGAGAATTTTCACAGAGCAGCTGAAGCAATACAGCTACTACTACCTGGAAAGGGCTGCCATTTACAACCATCAAACAAGAAATTAAAGGGAAAGCATCTCCAAAAGTAGTTCCTTCTGTTGAAATGGTGTTGGCAGGATCCTATCTACATCCTTTCTCACCTGAGACCAGATATATCTCCAACATCCAGGTTTGTTTCATCTTCATCAATGTCCTTCTTTGGCTGCTCTGAACATGGGGAATTCCAGCTCCTAAAGACAAAAGTGAAGGAGCAATTAGCCCAAATACATTGGTGTGTTCTGTCTTTTAGATTAGGATTATTCAAAGTATTATATACATTCCTTAGAAGGCCCAGGAGGCTTTCTGCCAAACTCCCCTGAAATTTATACAGACTTACAGGATGTTTTATGTGATCTCTCAGCTTGTGTAGCTTCCAACAAGGAGCAGGGCATACAAAGTGAACAGCAATAATCAGGTGTTTTTCATAAGCCACATCCCCTTGCAATACACAGAAATTCAGCTGGTCAAGTTCCAAATTGAACCCTGCACTTGAAAACTGACCAGGGAAGTATTTAAACCGAAAACTTCAAGGAACAGAGGAAGCAGTTAAAAACCCCCAAAATTAGCTCAAATCATGTTCAGGTAAGAATAATGCAGGACTCCTAATTCAACCCTAATTTCGTTCCTCCATTCTTTAACCATCATATTTTTAATCCTCTCTGATCCACTGGATCGACTTTGTTTTCCCCTCTGCCTATTCTTCTGCATTAAGCACAGATGCAGTAATTATGCAGCGAGATTTTTCTTAAATTGAAAAATGGGATGATTAAACTGTGTGTATGAACAGAAGAAAAATTATCCCAATGGAACTAAAAAATTAAGCACAGGTAAAAGCTGCTGATGCCCAATGGCACATCCAGTCCCTTGGCCATGCTGTTGGCCAAGGTTGGGGTGTGCTGTCATCCATCTCAGCTCCAGCAGGATTTTAGATAGTGACAGGGACACAAGCATTTATATCTGCTGTCATTGTTGCTTGGCAGTAAAAATATATTCCTCTTAGGCTGTCCAGACATTTCAGTTTCTCTTAGGACCCAGTTTGAAAAAAACAAAAAATGAAAGAAACTGATTATTCCACTGTGGATAGGAATATGGAGGAGGTCACCATATGTGTAGGATAAATATCCTCCTGTTGCAAATTTGTATCAGTCAGTCACCATCATCTGCTCTGTGGGATAAAAATGTCTCAGATATTGTGCACTCAAACATCAGAATTGCCCATGTCATTTACGGTGCTTACTGCTGTTCAGCAGGATCAGCCATGAAGATTAAGGTGATTTTTTTGCTCAGCCAATTGCCCTTTCCTTTCTTTTCTTTTTTTTTTCATTGAACCTTCACCTCTCCCTTTCCCCAATGTCTCTGAAGAGACAAGGACAAAGTCAGGAGATTTGCAAAGGAACTGATTGTGCTCATATAGGAAATTAGATCATTCTGCAGAACTTTCAGCAGATCCTCTCCAATACTGCTCTTATACCTGTCTTTCATTGATTTAGTTATACAGTATCAAAGGACACTGTAGACTCACATCTGAATGTAGTGCCAGTGCACTGAACAAAAAGTCACTCTGTCCCAAGGGAGAGGAGAAGGAATGGGCAAAGAGGAACAATGAGAGAAAGGGAGAGCAGCACAGGGAAGAAAAGAAAGGCCAAGCAATAACTGGAAAGAACAAATCCTTTCTTTTTGCTCTGTGCACCTTCTCTTGTTTCTTTCCCACACTCGAGTCCCCCCTGTCCCCTCTCCTGGCTCCTGGGATAATGTGGTCTGCAGTCTGATGGCTTTAAACTGAAATCCAGTCCAAACCTGACTTTTCAGTTTCTAGAGCTCTGGAAGGGAACAGGCAGGAGGTAAGAGCATCCCTGAGGAAGCAAGGCTTCTCCGGCAGAGCTGCTGCAGCAGCAAAGCTATTAATAAATGTTTGCAATCTTTTAATCGCTCTTCTAAATTGCCATCGTGTTCCTGCAAACCCCATAGTGTGTCAGTGCAGCTGCCTCCTCCCGCCTGCCTCCCCGTGTTCGTGCATGTGAGTGAGGGGGAACATCAGGAACATGCTCAGATCTGAGGGCTGCTGCAGCCTTAGAGGGAAATGATTTTGACAAGTGACTTTTTAAATCTTCCTTATTCCAGAGGAAGCGGCCCTATTACTTGCATTTATAAACCATATTTTCACCTGGTTCGCCTTCTCCAGCAAATCCCGCCTGCTCGATCAAGACACTAAACTTTTTTTCATTAAAATATCACATCTGATCTGTCATGGCTTGGGACCTGCCACCCGAGAGGCCACTGTCTCTTGTGATGTGATAGCACTGCAGGCACAGTCACCTAGCAGTCACTCTGGCTTAGACAAAGACATTCCCAGGCACAGAACATTTCTGTCCACTTTATGAGACCCACTAAGGAGCTGACAGTCACCAGGGGTACAACACAAACATATATTGCTTTTCAGGCGTTTCTAAAGGGTCAAGTAGTCAGGATATAAGTGGACTGGAAAGCTGTGATCCTATTTAAGGCAAGAGATAACATTTCAGGATGAAAAGGATTAATACTTTCAAATAAATTGTCTATTTGCCTCTTTATGTTTCTAAAGTGTATCCATTATTGTCCAAACTAGGATATTACAGACAAAGCCACCTTCTAACGTCATGGTGGAGATCAGCTTAATCCTTTCTCTGTTCCCTCCCCCAGCTCAAACTCTCATCTTCATCCTAATTATAATAGCATTTGAAATTATCATGGTTTAAAAAAAGATGCCAGCTTATATAATATTCTTATTGCTTATTAATGATTTCAGAAGGGAGAGCAAGTTGCCTTGCATTCTGGGAATTATGCAAACCAAGGCTGAGCCATACCTTGTTGGACTCCACCAGTTTCTTATTTGGAAGCCTGATGCGTGAGGATTACCGTGTAATAACAGATGTTCAGGCTTTTAGTGAATGACAGGCCTGCTGCACACACTAGAACAAGAAGACATGACAGGCGTCACATTTCACAGTGATTAGCCTTGGGCACTTTTCAGAGGCAGAAGACTCGAGGAGAAGTGACTTTAACGGCCCCGCGAGTGTGATAATCCCCCAGACGGCACAGCCTGAAGAGTTTGATTGCTGTTCAGGATGGGAGCTTATGAATAATGATACAGAAAACAGCAGGCTGGATATCAGGGACACAGTTACACGGCACTGACAGCCACAAAGACAGTCTGCTGGGATAGGAAGTTATTAAGTCCATTACTTAATCTAAAGTTGCTTATACCCTGTCCTCAAAACATCACCTCCTCCATAAAGCTATAACGTGTGAGAGGCACTAAAGAACTGAACTGGAGATTTAGTACATGTCCTTCAGTTTCCTGTGCTTGTCACTGTGGTGAACATGGGGTGGAGTAGGAGGGAACGTGAATGGGAGCAGGAGCTCTGTATCCATGTTATAAACTGCTGCAGTTTTATTAAAAAACGAGCTTCAATATGAGATTATATCATCCGTCTCTGATACTAAGAGACTATTAAAAGACAAATGAAGTTGCTTGCCCCCACACTTATAGAGAAATACCTGCACCCCGCAAGTCCCCAAAATAAAAGAACTCAGTATGTATAATTTAAGTAAATTAATTAAATAAAATTATTTTTAAATTATTTTGTTAATGTCTGTGATCTGAGTCACAGATGCTGATTTTACAATACTGGGTAACATTATAATAATAGAGAAATAACAGAGTACATATGCTTTTTCAAGCAATAAGTTTATGTATGTAGCAATATACATTAACATATTGAGAGCTGAAGTTGAATGTATGTTTTAGGGGAATCTAACAAACACTCAAAATCATCACTTCTTGCTTTCTAAAAATTCCACATCTTACAAAAAATAACTTCATCATTATTAATTGAGTAGCTGTCCCTCTGTGTGCCACAAACAAAGCTGAGGGAGTTGTGGTTTGGCCAAGTGGTTGGGGTGGGGACAGGGAAGGAGAAGAGGTGGAACAAGGTAAAGGAACCAATCCATCTCCTGGAGACAAACTATCACACATAGAAAATTTCCCATGCCAGCATATTTAGAGATAAATGGGGACGCCATGCAGACAGTGCTGCACATTAAGGTACGATGTTGGGAGTGTGGTGTCCCCTGCCAGCCCTGTCATTGCATCAGCGGTGCCCCACCCTGGCATTTACCCTGGGAATGGTGTCCCTTAGGCTCCCACAGGATGAACATCTTGCTACCTCTACACATCCCACACACAGGAAAAAACCCACACACTTAACTGGCTCCAGCTTAGTTTCTTGACCTGCAAGCAGGTTCTGGTTTTATGCTACGCACAGTCCACACCACCAATTCCTGGTGTGTCTCACATTCTGTCCTTACACCATGTCCCTTTTGCTGGCTAGAAAAGTGGTACTTGGCTTGGCACAGACACGTGGACAGCCCGGGGTGCTGACATACAACAAGCATATGCTGAAATGTGGGGAAAAGTGAGCTCCCTCAGGAAAGATGGAAAATGAAACCAGATGCCACCAATACTGAGAGAGAGAAGAAACCAGATCTGATCCTTTAGATGACTAGATGGGAGCTGCTCATGTTCAGAGACAGTAGGACCAAATTCAGCTCTAATTAAGTCACTAATGTTACAGCAGGATAAACATGATCTTCACAGGTATGAAACAGGAACAGAGAAGGTCACACAGCAACAACTCCTTGAGTTCCAGAATGAGTGCCGTGGAATTTTACTGAGGGGGCCTGAGGGATGTGCCCTGGGTCAACTGCCCCCAGATCATCTCACTGTGGCAGATGCCATCAAGCACTGCAAAAAGGTTGTTATGTGCATGACCGGGAGCTTTAGCTTGGGACCAACCAGCAGCAGGCAAAAGGCATCTCAAGTGCAGCTCAAACCCCTGTGCCCTCAGGGCGACTGGTGACAACAGCCTCGCAAATCCAGCAAGATATTTTTTGGTTTGCTTCTGTCTTCATGGCGCATACAGTTAAAAAAAATGATAAATATTTACTCTCTTTGACTCAGGTGCAAGTATATATTTCGAAAAACAAAATTGAACAAAATAAAAGTAAAAAGCCCCAGCAAGCTTCCCAAAATAGGTCAGATGCTTCCAGTGCTTTTTGTCTTCTCTCATCTGTAACAACCACCGCCTCTGGAAAACTGTTTGCATTTACTGGTCTTAGTGAGCATCCTCAGTCAGCACAACAGAAATAGAGGTGCTCTTGACTCTCCCCTTTCAAATCTGCTCGCACACAGTGCACCCTACTCTGCTTTCACGGGGCTTTCCCTTGCTGTGCCGGGCTGTGGGACGCTGCAGCTAACATTGGATCTAGGCAAGAACAGACGGGTGGGGAGGTCTCTGTCAGAGCGGGTCGGGCAGAGTTGAGCCCCGTGTGCCCCAGCGAGGCAGTGACTGACACGCTGCCTGCACCAAGCTGACACCAGTACAAGCCGAGACCCTGCAGCTGCCAGGGGGAGCCCCGGCCGTGCCCCACCGAGCAGCTCCAGCACAGCCCCCCTTCTCCCCTGCAAACGCTGCCGCTGCCCAGCCGGGGCCAGGCAGAGGCACGGATTATATAAGGCTGCTCCAGGATGCCTGTCCACTCGGCTCAGCACTGAGTGATGGATGCACTGGAAAATGTTTTTCATTGCCTCCCTCATTAGGGAGACAAGTGCTCTGCAGAAGGCTCTGGTCCTGTGCTGCTCCAGGCTGCTGGAGTTAAACCTAAAGCCGCGTAGAGAAAGGATTATTCAGTGTGCGGCAACATAAGCAGACACATCTTACTGTAAAATAGGGCCTTGGCTTAATCTGCTCATGGAAATTCGGGGGAAAGGAAAAGCAGAGAGCAAAGATCTGCAAGACAAGCAACACTAGACACATCATTTCAGTTTCAGAGTGACCTCCACACCAAGTCATATGTGGAGAAGGTCACTCAGGTAGGATATGTTTATGCCGCAAGAGTTTATATTATCTCGGTTATTATATTATTTAAGTGCATAGTAACTCAATAATTTATTTGTAACACTCCTTGAAGTAGATAATGTTATTATCCTCATTTTGCCAATGTTACACTCAGGCCTGGAGAGATTAAGGGTCAGACTTTTATGCATGGGAAGGTGCCCAACTCATACTGATATCAAAGGAAGCTATGAACCTACATATTTTGACAACAGAAATCAGTGGGGCAGTAAGGAATTCCAGGTCTCAGGCAAACCTATCCAGTAATCTTATATAATTGAAAGTGCTCTGCTCTTGTAAAAATTGGAATTTATTTTTCTTTTTCACCTAAATTCAGACATCTCAACAGTCTCCATTGCTGTCTGTGCTAACCCACAGGAGATGTACTGGTTACTTCTTTTTTTAATAAGCTTCTTCCCCAGATAAGCAAACTCAAGGCTTTGCTTTGTTATTGTTGTTATTGTTGTTGTTGTTATTGTTGTTTGTTGGTTTCTAATACTTTCCCCTTGGTTTTACTGTGGTTATTCCACAGGTTTCTGGAAATTTACTGAGAAAAAGTCTCACAGCATCCTCAGTGACAACAAGCCTCACAAATTGTACCTCCTGTTTGAGTGCCCTTCAGCACAGAACAAAACACCCCGTCCTGCCTCTGTAGCTGCTCTGAGATCTGTTATCTCTGAAAATACTGGTTTCAGGTGTGGGCTGGAAAGTGAGTAAGACTTGCTGAGGCTGCTCTTAAGTTTATGGGAGCCTTTGCCATAACATTATGGAATGTTGCAAGACTCCCTACAGGTAGCAAGAAGTTAAAATCTCCCTAATGCTAATGGATTCTTTGTAAAGAAGCAATTTTTCAATTATACATAATTAATAGTAATTACTCTTTATCTTCAGAGACCAGAACAAAGAATAATTAATCCATCTTAACATCCCTGTTAAGGAGCTATTAAATATGGGGGTTTTATACAGCAGATTACTTAGTAACTTATGTGGCCCGCAGTTCAGTCTGTGTTCCCTAATGCAGAAAGGAAAGAGAAAAGAATCCTGAACTATCTGAACTAATATTTTAGTTCTTGCATCAATTTAATTAACTAATTTGGAAACAGCTGTTTCCTTCTTGCAGCAGCTTGCTGCAAATGAAGTGTGCTGCCTACAGATCTCTCATTTAGAGAAGCAGTTTTACTACATTTTATAAATAATAACATTCAATTGGACAGTTTACTAATTTTAACATATATCTATGAGTAAAGTATTTGCAATTATTCCTGTTGTAGAGCTGGTGAAAACGAAGCTCACAATTTTAGGGCCAGCTTCTCACTTGGCACATCACCTTTTTTGTACTGCTCTTCTCTCACGCTGGTTTTCGCTGCACAGGAGACTCCTGATCCTGTGTCCATGTCAGACAGCACGTGCCAAACTCACAGACACTCGTGCCCTTTATCAGATCTTAAAATTTGGCTTCAATCTTCCAAAGTGGCTTCCAATTTCCGATATCTTAATGGAAGCTCAGCTTACAACTCATGGGATGTCTCTCAGAGCACACAGTCCCTATTAATCTGAACTGCAATGTCCTGTTCTTGACTATTAAAAAAAAAAGAAAGAAATGTGAATTTACTATTTTCATCCTAAACAAGTAGTGCAAGACCACACTGCAAGCACTGAAAGAGGCAGAAGCAGAATTTGCTTCAAACACATGGCTTTGCAAGACAATTACTCCACGTGGCAGGATGACAGCAAAGATGAGGGCAGTGCTGCAGGCAGCACGTGTGGCAGCTCATGTGGCAGCTCTGACAGACCAGCAGCCTCTGACCCATGACAGCTTGGGTGTCCAGAAAGCTCTGACTGGTGATTACATGTTAAGGTGATAAAAAAGGATAGCTTTTATTCCTACATGTATTGATCCAAGGGAACCTGAGCTCAAAAGGGAGGAGTACAGAGCTATGGAAAATGGGAGAGTAAAAAGGGACCAAAGGGAGAAGGAGAATGTCCCAAATGTTAAATGAAAGCATCTGCATGAAAGGCTCCAGGCCAGCAGGCTCACAGAATGCACTCTTCTGTCTCAGTGACCTTGTGAAGATAAACTGAACAAAAAGCTTCGGGCAACATCAGACAGGATTTAAGAAGCAGTTTTAATTTTAGCCAGATTGGTTTGTATTTTCGGCTGCGGGGTTATCTGGGGATGCAATGTGCATCCAGTGGAACAAAATGTAGTTGTCACCCCCAACTCTAATACTGCACCTGATGGCAAATTCAGTTCTGTGTTTCCAGGGGGAAGCAAAAATCATGGTGTTGGCCACACAGTGGTATCACAAGGATGGAGCATCAATGCATCCTAATTTTACTTCAGAATGTAATTACTTGGCTACTTTATGCACAAGCAACACGCATGACCTATACTCCAACACAGTATGTGCTAATACACGGGTTTTCTCTGCTCACATAATGTTCCTTGCTCTGCATCTCCAGACTAACAGCTATTTTCTACAAAGAAACTGTTTAATCCCCTGTACCTCAGTTTCCTCATCTACAAAATGGAAACATCCCATCCAAAAAGAGTGCAAGGATTCACTAATATATGTTTTTTACAGTGGACACATTTGCTGATAGTTTTAATTATAGTAAATACATACAATCTCTAAGAGCTGGCTGCACACAATAAAATATATGCATTATGTCTATTACAGATTATTAGCACAATTAATTCCATACAATACAAATGCAATCTAATCCACAATCTGGAGATTACGAATGGCATGTACATCCAAAATGAAGGTTTAGATCTTCAAGCCTGCAATAAAATGTCAAAACATGAACTAAAACCAAGAAACCTAAGAGTCAACCCAGACTGATTGGGAATAGCCCCTCCACAGGCACACTAACACACATAACAAACAGGAGTTGGGAAAACGACACCTCAGTATTCCTCTTGCACCTCCCCAGCATCACCACTTTATTGGACAATCATTGGTGAACACTTATTCCGATAGGGAATCTTATATCCAAAGTTCTCAAACTGCTTTACAAATTGTCTCTAACGTCTATAGACAGTGCACATTATTTCCCCCTGTCCTCACATGCTCTGTCCTCCATAATCTCTATTTGATAAGCTATCCTGAGTCTCATTGTCTCTCCAAGTCTGCAGGAGATACATCCATCCTCTCACTTGGCAGGTCTCTTGACCCACACTTCTATTTTAAAAGCATTTTCTGATTTTTCTCTCTCGGATCTTTTCTCAGGCGACAGTTCATTCCCACCTTGACTGCGTAACTCACCATCCCTTGCAACAGTTTCTTATATCCCTGACACTGGATCAATACAGCAGAGCTGGCAGAGGATGAGAGTGAGGAGGTGGGAAAAAAAAATGTGAAGATGTTGTAATCTTTTTAGTCCTGTGCTGTCAGCTTAGCACACCACGATGTCTGACTGGACTCACACACCTTGTACTGACACAGGCAGTGACTGCACAGGGAGCTGTGGTGGCTCAGGTCTGCTCTGTGCATCCCCCAAACCAACAACAGGGAACTAAAGGCAATATCCTACGTGAAATGAGGCAGGACAAGGCTATTTTACAACACTGCTCTCTGCACCATGTCTCTCCTAATCAGCCTTCTGGACCGAAAACAGAGGCCTGTGCTATGCATAGGGCCCAGCCTGTAGCACGCACAGTGCACATGTCCTATTGGATTACAGGGCAGAGTGCACTCACATGCTCTGCTTGTCAGAGCCCAGCGTGCCTCTGCAAAAAGAAGGAAATAAGGGAAAGGATGGATAAAAGCAACCTGAGCACCACAGGGCAACCCGAGCCCCGTCAGAAGGCAGGATGGGGGATGCCACCACAAACACCGGGGCAGCAGACAAATATACCCGGTCAGATGTGCTGGAAGGCTAAGCTGGGACCTCACTCTGCTAAGAAAATAAGTGGGAATCTTCATGGACTTTGCTACTGTTCAAAAATGTGAGACTGGCTTATCACCTAGGAGCTCATTGTATTGACAAGTGGAACAGATGACAGCTAGATCCCCTTTTGGATACTAAAACACAGAGCAATATGGCAAAGATCAATGCAATGCAGTCCTCTCATGGAGAAAATGCTTCTATCTGCATTAGCTTCAAAACTGACAAACTGCCCCCAGTCCCTTTGATCGTGGCCCAAGAGAAAAGGCCTCTTAGAAAGTCCATACGGGACTTTGTGCTTTTTTCTCCCCAGGCAACTTAACTCATATTCTGCAGTTCTCAGAAAAAAACACAACATGAAAATGGGATCACAGGTGAAGGAGAGAGGAGTTAATAGCCACAGGGAGACAGCAGCAGTGCAGGCATCTATTTCAGAGGGCAGAAGTTTATCACGCAGGACAGGATTTCCACTGGGTTTATCACTGTTTTCTTTGTGTGGAATGAAGGTCATTAAAGAAGATGTTTCCACTCTGAATTAGCAATGAGTTCCCACTTTATCTATAGTGCCTCAGCGCTCCCGTGTGACCTGACTCCGGGGACCTCGCTGAAGCTCTTCTCCCACCTCACACCTTTTCCCTTATCCCCCCCCATTACCCTCTCCCCAGTTTCTTCTCGTACCAGATCTTTGCAAAGAGCATTCCCTGCTTCCTCAGACCACGTCCCGGATCACAGCTTTGGAAACCACGACAGAAATAAGAAGTAGCTCTGTTCTGCAATTCTCTCAGCTGTTTTCATTAGTTAGCACATATGCCCAAACCCCCCCATACCTGCAGCCCAAGGAGCTACAAACTCTGGAGTTTTCTGAGGCAGCACAGCCCTTCCAGGAGCACTGGGGAGGAACTGGACACTCCGTTAAAGCCCTCTGGGGGCAGGTGCCGGCCCCACAGCAGCCACCCCACAGCCAGGGGGTGACCGGCACCGGACCGTCCTCCTCCCTCGGACCTCCCGCAGCTCCCGTCACACGGAGACGTCCCGTCTCCCTTATTCACACTTTGGCGCACTAGACAAGGCGGGCTCGGCCAGGTTGGGCCGGTGCAAGGCAGCGAAAGGGGCTAAAGCCGAAGATTGGACCCTCAGCGGACCCGGCGGAGCCGCGGCCCCTCAGCCGCCCCCTCACGCGACCCGCGCGCCGCGCGCGCCCCCTGGCGGAGGGCGGGGACAGGAGGGGGCGCGCCCCGGGGGGACCCGGGGAGGGGCCGGGGGACAAAGGGACATCGGGACCGGGCTGTGCCGGGAGCTGGGTGGGCAGCGGGGCCCGGGCAGGGATCGTCTCTCTGTGCTGGGCACTGGTGAGGCCGCACGGCGAGTGCTGTGACCGGTTCTGGGCTCCTCAACTCAGGAAGGACATTTAAAGGATGGAGCGCGTTCAGAGAAGAGCAACGGAGCAGGGGAAGGGTCTGGAGTGCATGTCCTATGAGGAGCGGCTGAGGGAGCTGAGGGTGTTCAGACTGGAGGAGAGGTGGCTCAGAGGAGACCTTACTACTCTCTAAACTCCCTGAAAGGAGGTTGTAGCCAGGTGGGGGTCGGAGTCTTCTCCCAGGCAACTAACGACAGGACGAGAGCACACAGCCTCAAGCCGCACCAGGGGAGGTTCAAGCTGGACACTAGGAAGAATTTCTTCACAGAAAGTGTGATCAAACACTGGAACGGGCTGCCAAGGGAGGTAGTGGAGTCATCGTCCCTGGAGGTGTTTAAGGAAAGACTGGACGTGGCACTGAGTGCCTTGTCTAGTTGTCATGGTGGTGTTGGGTCACAGGTTGGACCCGATGATCTCAGAGGTCTTTTCCAATTTAATCGACTCCGCGATTCGGCGGTTCCGTGACCGGCCGGCGGCTCGCGGCAGCACTGCGCACGCGCGGCCGGGGAGGGAGGCGGGACCACAGAGGGGGACGCCCTTCCCTCGGTCCCGCCCTCGCGCGGCGGCGATTGGCTACGGCGGACAGAGGCGCCTCGCCCATTGGCCGGACGGGCCGTCTGTCCGGGCCGCGCGCTACCGCCGCCATGGTTCGGTTCAAGAACAGGTGAGGCGGGCGGGGGCGGCCGGGCCGGGTGCGGGGTCGTCCCGCGCCGCTCACCTGGCGCTGTCCGCAGGTACGTGCTGTGCGAGGTGCTCTCGGACGACCCGCGCTGCCGCCAGTGCATCGAGGACCGCGCCGTGGGCCTCGCCGTCAGGGACGCCATCGGGCGGGTGCACGGCGACTACGGCCTGGCCTGCTGCTCCATCTCCTTCACAGGTGCGGGCGGGACGCGCGGCCCCCGGAGGTGCGAGGCTCCTCGGGCTCACCGATGCGTGTGTGTCCCCGCAGTGAAGTACCTGAACGCCTACACCGGGACGGTGTTGCTGCGGTGCCGCAAGGACTCGTACCGGCTGCTGTGCTCTGCGCTGCCCTTCGTGCGCTACCTGGAGAGCCGCGCCCAGCGCTACCCCTGCGCCCTCAATACCCTGCACGTCGGAGGTCAGGAGCCCCCCCGGGGCTGGGGGACAGGCCGTGGGGCTTGGGGGGAGGACAGAGATCAGTTGTACCTGCCAGGACCCCCTCGTGCAGCTGCGGGTGTCACACACCTCGTGTGTCACATCACGGCTGCCAGCAGATCTAAATAAGAAACAGGCACCAGCAGGTCTTTGTTGAAACCCTCGTTAATTTTGCTTGAATCTTCATTACATTTATCACAAAACCAGCAAATACAAGATGACATTGTTTTCTTTTTAAAATATATTTTCAAAGTATAGTATCTTCTATATCCTGTAAATTAAACCCCTGGGGGAACTAACAGGCACTGCATGTTAGAAATTATTGTTCCACCACTTAAACTCAGCAGTGCAGAAATGAAGTCTACAGCCCCTCCTCGGCAGTAACAAAAATGTTTCCTGGGGCATTTGATACAATGCTCTTTGGAAAATACACCAGCAGCTCTGAAACACTTGGTTGTAGATTGTTACCTGTTTTTCTTGTGACTTCTACAGGTACCATAAGAACATGTCAGAAATTTCTGATTCAGTATAACAGAAGACAGCTGCTGATGTTGTTGCAAAACTGTACAAATGAAGGTGAGTTCCTCCAGCCACTTTACTAAAACGCAGCCTCAACTCCTGGTTGATTTTGTAGGATATGGTGGGCTACTTCTGAATTCTTGGCCTGAGAAATGTTTCCTTCTTTAGAAGTGGAGGATATTCCAGTGTATGTGAAGAGACCAAGTAATGACCCTCTGTTGCTTTCTTTATTGCAGAGGAAAGACAGTGTATACGGAAGTCGTTGTTGAGCTGTTCCCTTACAGAAGAGCAGTCTCAGAGTGGAGATGAGGAGGATGATGATGGCACAGAGACAGACTGAACATCACTTGTTACTGTTCACC